TTTACATTTTCCTTCTACAAAAACTGCATGCATCTGTACTATGAACTACAAATAATAACAAAGATATTATCTTTGTATGTATCCCTGACCACATTAATGATAATGAAATAATAGATGAGGGTGCAAAACATGCTTCTAGTTTATTGCTAACATGAAAATAAATAGCTCACGACGATATAAAAAAAAGCTTTAAAGAAAAAAACTTAAAAAATGCAAGGATAATAAAAGAGATCCCTCCCAAACAAATAATTTTTAATTAGGAAATCTATTTTTGAAAACTAAGCATCTTGCCTTAAACAAGAAGACATCAAGTAATTTCTACTAACTCATAAGTACTTCGCACAAGAGAACCTTCCAACCTTTGTGAGACACGTGGGACATCAATCACCGTTGTTCGTCTGCTGACTTAAATATCTTAAGAACCAAACACAAGCTATCGAACAGCCTTCAAGAGCTACTAAATGACATCAATATGATCTAAAAGGAACTTAACTTCTTATGTGAAGGGGTAGATAAAAATATATGAAATATGCCCATTTCTTCTTCAACTACAGATAAATTCAATAAATAGCATCTCAACATTGAACTAAAGTGATATCTGGCAGCTTAGCACTTTCTTGCTCTTGAACTAGTGTTTACATTTGCTCGTAGTGTACTAAAATGGAAGAGTTGTTAAGAATCACTCACTGTAAATTAACCGTTTATTTGTATATAATAGATAACATATCTACCTAATAATCCACGAACATAAGGTTTATATCAAGATGAGTACTAAGAGTCTATATACAATACCGATACTTTGTTATCCATATCAATTTAAAAGAATTGTTCATATATTTTGAATCATTTTGTAATATTTGATTTCTTCAAATATTGTAAAGTTTTGTAATAATCATGTGGTTACTCATGACCTTGAAGTTAATGCGACTCTAATAACCACTTTTCGACTTCTCCAAGGAGCAAATTCTCCTTCAAGATACCAAAAACTATGAAATGCCTTTAATACGAGTAACGCGATTAGAATTGCGGTACTTCAAACATATGTTTAATTCTTCCTCAAATTAAAAGTAATTGTGGAAAAAATTATGAGCATTGGTATTTGGTTAGACAGTATCTTCAGGAAATATTCATTTTCCGTTAAGTAATTTAAATTCTTATTTTTTTTCAATGGTGTTGCTCCAATCTAAATTCATAACCAAATATAAACTAGCAAGAAATTAAAAATAAATTCTAGTTGAATTTTCGTTTATCCATTGCGAATCAAATTTGTTAAATTGCGACGATCCAATGGTGAATATATCAGTTGAAATGTTGGAACTTGTATTTCAGGTAGTTCTGACAATGTTATATCACGTTAATTAACCACTCTCTAACAACAATCACTTTTCCTTAGACCTGAAAGCTGGATTACGTAAGAACTAATCTTATAGTCGATTGTCTATCCTCAGTTTCCGATTTTAGACATTGGATTCCCATTAGCTTACGATGGACGCTCCCAAAAGTTGTATAAAAAGTTGTATACAAGCTGATTACGTCCTACTTTAATCATTACAATTTATTAAATAAATGCCAGTCTAGAGTTACGATGGGAAAACTAAAAATTAATTGCACTCCTCATGTTTACAGAAGACATCATAAATCCTTACTTTAACTAAGTTTAAGCTTACACGCAATAAAATTAATGAATAAATACTTTAAGATTATACAGGACCTCAGCAACATTTATCATTTATTAAATATGTAATCTGGAAAGCATCCAATGATTGAGATGCTAACGCTTGGTACAAAAATATTCACCTACGAATTTTATGCATCTTTGCAAGCAGGTACCCCAATCGAATATTTTTCCATCACAACAGCAGTCAATAATTTGGTTTTGAAAGTGGTGCTAATAAATAATTACAAATATGAATGTTACTTGAAGAAAGAAAATATTAAGAAGTGTAGAAACGTATCTGATATTTCTGTTTATGTTTGTTATCAACATTGCTATAATTATTAAACTATTACATTCACGGTACCATGAAACTGGCGGAAGAAAATTAGGGGTTGTTGCCATTTTATGTCAGCACTAGTTTGTTAGCATTCGACTTCCGTAGTTGGTGTGCCAAATTTTTTTTTAATATGTACAATATGTTTGTTTTGTAATTTTATTATATTAATGATTGTTTTGTAAATAACATGGAAATGCCGGTATATTTGAGTAATTCACAATAGTGGCGTGCAATTGTGATGCAACGTATTTTTGTATAAAGTATCTGATATTTGTGTTTTTAATGTTCTGAAGATATTTTAACAGAAATGAAACAAATTCTTTGAATCGTAAAGATTATGCGGTTCAGTTGCGGTCGACCCTCATTACAACAGCTTAAGTGTTCTTTTGTCTCATGTTGTAGCTTCAGATGTATTTGAGGGGAATGCGAAGTGCAGTTGGAAGTAATTCTATGTGGACTGTACCTATTGGAAATTACCGTGTAGCATTGATGTGTAATAATACTCGATATCGCCCAAATGATATCTCCGCTCCGTTTGGTTGAGGACATAAATCAGAACTCATAGCGGGCGGTCGCACACTACCTCTCCGTCTCAGGGGGCGAGGTTAAAAACACTGTCAAAAAATTTGGAATTTGTGATGCACAATAAATGTTTGCGCAAGACTTTTCTAATTTCTATTTCCTCCTCAAATTTCAATTTTTGATTTTTCATGATTTGATTTTTACCGTAATCTACATTGAGTACACCATGAATATTCCACTGGTTGCCAAAAAAGGTTTAAATACTGAGATAACTGAAGAAAAAATAAATTACGGTTATTCAGTCATAGAAAGTTTTAATCCTTTAGAACATAATTCGCTTTTCCTCCTAAGATCCTCGATCGTCTAGATCGGGCATGACAAGGTCGCAGGCAAGTTAACAAGCTTACTCGCGGGCGCTGCGTCCAGAGAACTCTAAAAGTAAGGGTTGTACAAACTGTCCCGCTACCGGGCCCATGACAGTCTTTGCAAAATGTTACTTGACAGTTCCCGTCATAAATATGGCGAATCTAATTCCATTTTCCCCTTTAAAGCAAAGAAATTGTCCATTAAATGAAATATTATATCAGTCGGATTTCCAATTTTCAATTGTGAGTAAAATTACAGAATTTGGATCAAACATATTTTGATTGTCAGTTGAAAAGAAATATAAAAGATTGACTTTTCGACGATTAGGTTAGGGGGTTTAACAGACAAATATTCTTCTCTGTTTAATGTGCCATCCGTCCTGAAGTGAGAATTATTAACTTATTGAGGTTAGTAGCTCGTGCGGGCGCACTTTGTCGTGCATGCTGTAGATAACACACTGCCATTTGTTCCACAGAGAAGCAATTGTGTGTTACATTGTATTCACATTGTTCCTTCTGCACCGCAGTCCCCCTGAGCCGCTCTAAGCGACAGTCAAGAAGAGATGGCCGTGCGGTGCGCGGGTCGGAAGGGCTGCGTTGGCGCCAAAGCGCGAATGACGAGCGGATAACCATCTCGCTGACGGCTGCGGCGCAAATTGAGGTAAATTCGACGCGCGACGCCCCCTCCCGGCCGCATCACTCACTAGCGCCACGCCAGCGCAGTGGGCCAAATCGGAACTAGGCCGAGCGATTCCGCTTTCGGACCAACGAGTTAGAATCAGATATCGCAACCGTATCACTGGATGCACCTGTGCACTGCTTTGAAGCGCCGAAAATCTCGATGATCGCGGTGAACGTCCACCTTCAGACTTTCTTACGAGTTGAATGTGTCTTGTGTGGTATTTATGATGCTTAGAATCTTCTCTGACATATCATTCGGCTGTAAAGACGCCAAGAAAACATAAAATAGATGCGAATATTATTAGATGGCATATTATTTGGTAGCCGTTACTTTAATCTCTTTTATGTTTCCGACGACTATTACGAGTATTTGCTATGAAATGATTAAAGATACGCAAACCAAGAACATTTCCCTGCGTGAATATTAAAAAAGTCTCGAAGTAATAAAAGACGACTTTGTTAAAGTATTATAGGTGAATTTCAAATTCAAAGTATTAAATATTGGTTACATTCAACTATTTATTACGTTTTAGTGAACATAAAAGAGAATAAATGTTGAAAATTGAAATGAGACTGCTATTTATTTCTGAGATAAGTAGATCCGAATAGATATTCACCATCATGGCGGACTGATTTCTGAACACAGAGTGCTGTCTCCAGCCTACACTAAAGCTCACTGGATCGGACCAACGAGTTAGCTACATAGAGTGGCTGACCCTCAGCGTCCCTAGATATAGAGTAGCGCATTCCATTGTTCCCCCGCTTCCATTTTATATCCACTTCTGAAGAGAATTGGAATCGTGTTGTATTTTGTGTGTTGAGAACCATGGATCTATCCCAAACCAATATTAATATTCATGAAAAGCTCCATATCGTCTAAAACCTAAAATTCCCTCTCCAGCTTTGAATACTGCCTGGCGAGGCTATCGGGGGAGGGGAAATAAAATGGCAGCGGTTGCGCTACTCTCTGTGTCTAGAGACCCCTCTGACCGTATGGTTTTCAGCGCTCTTGGCGGACGTTCGCAGAACGTCCACCAACAACAGGCCGCCATGCTTTCTGCATTCAAAATATGAGTGGTGAGTGCTGGTGCCGTATCGAATTGTTGTTATACATGATATTTGTGGAACATTTTATATTTATGTTTTTTTTTTTGTTTAAGTGGATTTAAATTATATTAGTAGTGAGATTAATAATATTCACAATGCCTTCGGTATCTTCGGCATATAACTATACAAATATAAGAGATCAAAACACAAATATATCATTTTTCAAGAAAGTTCTTTCTTAATCCTTATTTCTATTAAGACTTCGATTTCTATTTCATAAAATTCAAACAGCACAAATTTATTATATAGAATAATGGCCCAGAGGGCGCTGTTTTGACGGCAAACATGACTTTATCTGCAAAGATGGCGGTGCTTCAGCCACTCTACGTACTACTATATTCAAACTCGATGGTTCGGATGAACTTGGCCGCTTCCGACCGAATGACAGAACTCTCACCAGAGCGCAGGGCAGTCTCACAGCGGGTCGGACTCGCTCCGATAAGCACGGCCTTGCTATCAAGTGTGCAGCAAAGAAGCAACTGCATTTCAATTATTTGGTCAAACTGGACCAATCAATATAGTATCAATATCAACATGGACGAACTTGTTTCGTTAGTTTAAGAAACCTGTGGGATACCTAGCATTCAACTCTCAAAAAATATGGCAGAGCAATTCAAAAGAAACCTATGAAATGAGTTACAAATGATTCTGGAGAGAGGAGTTTCTGTGAAACGTGAATCCAACGTGAATATAAAAAAAACGGGAATGTAAAGTATCCTTTACAAATCTCTCTCTTATGTGATGGGAGTTTTTAATAGAAATAGATGGACAGAGGGTGATTCAGTCCGTGTTACTAATACGCCGGTACTTTATCTCACGTAATGTACAGATTGAATTTACCAAAATTGGATATTCTTCGTCGTTTAGCTTCGTAATAATATACGATAAACTTTGGGCTACGCGTTTGTGTTCTTGAAACACGAGCTATGGAAGGTGAGCAAGCGGCTGCCCCTCGAATTCGCGCTCGCCACGGCTCTCAAAACCTCAATTGCTAACACTCTCCGAGAAGCCCCGGAAGCCAGCACAGGCAAATAGCGCGCGAGGTCAACGCACAGTCCCTCGTATAGCGAGCAATTCAGGCGGAAAGATTATAACTTTTCCGTTCCTAGCGGGCGCAGCATATGCACAGTAGACACTTAAACGTCGTTTGAATTTTCTAAGCATCTGCAAAAGAGGCGTTGAGTATCTGAATTGTATGGCCCAGGTACTCCCAACGCTTGCGCTACCGAAGTCTAGAATCGTGATGACCTTCGGCGCATTTAAGTGGCGGCAGAAGTAAAGGCACACCTGAAGTTGTGCGCGTCACAGAGGCCATGGGGTGAAGATGCTTATTTTGCGTTCACGCAGGAGAAGCTCGTTTTGAACGCTTGTAGAGCGCCTGTTACACGAGTCAAAAATGCGTAATTTTATCGTTATCGTTATGCGGAATATCGTTATCGTAACTTCATAAGTCGCGGTAGAGTAGTCTGATATTTCATAAAATTTTCAATTACGTTTTTATCTTATATAGTATCACGTACTGTATATTACTTATAAAACAGACTCGTGGTTAATTCTTGGTCAGCGTGCTCGCTTTCCACTGCGCGGCTTCGATTCCCGGTCGAGCCAAGACTATTGTGTGCGTTTTCCTTGCAATGTCCCAGTGTTTGTTACTGTGTGGCAATGAGAAAATTCACTTCTCATGTTGAGAAGACCGGAAAACGGCGTGGGTGTGTCTAACTACGTGCTAACGACACGTACCCCCTTAACCGATGGCCGCGAGGCAAGGACATTGCCAGTAGGCCTCAGCCCGTTCACGGGCTGTCGCGCCAAGTACATACATACATATAAGGTAGGACTATTAAATTGAATCAAATCTGAAATAAGAATCTGAATGAAATAAGATAGGACTCTATGAAATGATCAAATGACGCTAACATTAAAAAAGTTTCTACTAAAATTCATATTTATTATTTCATGTAGAACAGCAAGTAATTTTATTATACACTTAGTAAATACGAGATCGTTTAGCGTTTTAAGTTCACCGTGGAAATTGTATTATTTGATCACTTAATACTTTTACATGAAACTATTATTTAAAATATATTTCAAAAAAAGTATCTACCATAATAGTTGTAATTTTTTGGTTTTGAAATAAATAAAATAACTCGTAAAATTTCTTCATACACCACTCATTGCCCATCTGTTCTAATCCACTTTTGCCATCGTTTCTGCCACTTTTTGAACACGAACGCCAGACCATCTTTCCTGGGCCTCTTTTAGCGCGCCTACACAGCTTAGATGACCTCGGGATTGTCCTTGCATTTCCGTCCACTGAGCGGAAACTTGTGTTGAGGGAACAGAAGTTGCAAGAAGACAAATCTGGACTGTACGGTGGATGGGGTACAGTTGCGATGCCTCGAGCGTTCAAGAAATCCACTGCAGTTGGAGCCTCGCGTTGCGATGATGCGCGGCTGCAATCTGCATGATCCACGTTGCATGGCCAAATCATCGAGCACATTCGCAAATGCGCTGCTGATTGAAATGTCTAAGACTGCGGCAAGCGCTCTAGTGGTCATTCGGCGAACTTCGCAAATAATAGCGGCAGCTGATTTTTCGGTTCTTCCCGAATCCTACCAAACATTTCACGCTGCTACAACGTTGCTCTAAGTTTATCCACACTGGACATGGTAGGCGAATATTTAACACACGTTACATGACGCGTCACACGTTCACTCACTACACCGTTGAAACTAACAGTATTATTGGCTTCTTGTAACCTTCTTGAAACTAACAGTATTTTTGGCTAAGCGTATAGGTTACACGATGGTATTCAGTGCTGCCTCCCTTCGCAATACGTTTTCCCGCAGGGTTCCTCTTATCAATATCTAGATCTATTCCATAATATCTTCGTTAATGCCTCGAGCATTCCTTTTGGTTCGCCAAACACAAAACAAATCATACGTTTTCTCACAAGTGGTTACAGATTTTGAAGTCATCAAACTAGAGCATGCAGCTTCTGCTTTCTCCAGGATATCATCTGGCACGAAAATAACTTCTGATACTTAGAAATTACCACACTTGTTTTCTCATTCAACTTACATTAGCAGAGAAAGCATTGAACTTTTCGATCACAAATAAGCATCCAGTACTATCAATACTTACCACAGAAAAATGAGAGTAATGATAAGTGATAACTCATGAAAGGAATAACAGTTTATTTTGAATAAGCGATAAACTATAAATACCAAAAACATTGTACGTAACACGTTCTCTTCAGTCTTTTAAGGACTCCACCGGAAGAGTAACTATTCTTCTTTGCCTTCGCTCCGTCTCGCAGTTAACCTTCCCGCTTCGTTTTTTAAATACTCAGTTAGAGAACTCGTGTCATAAATAACTATTACGTTTTAATTGGTTCGTTTGTTGGTGTGCGTTGAGGGCCATTGCCCGAGCCTGTGGCCTCGAACCGCCAAACGGATGCCTCTCTCCAACAGAGAGCGGTGCCATCGAAGGAATTCGCGGTGCCAGAGCGCGAGGTGGAAATTGTACCGTTTGCCGTTTCTGAGGGCTCGATAATGTTGAGCGAATGGTGCCCATTTACTTCTATTTGCTTGTGCGAGAGTATGTTTGAAGTCGTAATTGCTCACTTTCAAGTATTAAAATAACTTCTTGACAAAACAGAAATAAAAAATGTCAGTAAAGAAGGTATATGTGGAAAGCATGGCCGGTACGAGGAGTAGTAGAGTCAGGCCAAGTTTAAGATGGAATGATGAGGTGGGAGAAGAACTGAGGAGCCTAAGAATGAATATATGGAGAAGAAAAGCAGAAGACCGACGAGAGTGGGCTACAGTAATAAAAGAAGCCATGGCAAACCTATAGAGCCAGAGAGCTGACAGAAGCAGAAGACATCTTACCTCTCTCCTTCCTGACCATCTGCAGTCCTCTGCCAGTGCTGGTAGTCCGTTGTCAGGCGTCCTTCCCAGATGTTCACACCGTCTTTTATTTCCTTCAAGTTTCTTCAGCAGTGGTTCGACTTTCAATTCCTTTTTTATCTCAGCATTGTTTTGTTTGTCTAAAATTGAATTGAGAAGGAGTTTCTCACTAATTTCATTTCTTCCACCTGGATTATCAAGTTATCATTTTTTGATATTACTCTTGCTTAGACTTCGTACATTTGCTCATTCCAGGACACTTTACACGCACGGCGCACATCAGCCAATGGACGAAGCGCATCCAGAAAGTACGTTCCCCTTTTTGCTTTGGAAGTACACGCTTTTAAGCAGGGAAAATGTGCTTGTGACCTTTGACGTAGAAATCGTGTGCCATCCGAAGAGGTCCGGCCGCTTGCCAGTAGCGTGTCAGCTCGTCCTTGCGTGCCTACTACAGATGTTGCAGTAGGTATGCCAACTACGCTGGTCCATGGTAATGCTTGTCCACATTCGGCGCGGCAAACAGCAACCGTTCTGCAGCAGTTTGTCTAAGAGCTGTTTGTTCATCCCCCAAACAGCCCTGATCTCGCACCCAGCAATTTCGATTTTTCCTGCACCTGAAGACATTCCCGTCAGCGTTTTCATATCAACGAGAAACCGA